AAGGGAGGAGAGAAGAAAGAATTACTGAATTGAAAGATGTAATAATATAAATTAGCCAATGTGAACCATACAGAGAAAATAGACTAGAAAGAAAAGAACAGGGCCTCTGGGACAAGTGGGACTACAACAGATGATGCAACATTCATGTCAGAGGGGTTGCAACGAAGAGAAAGAGGATGGGGCTAAAAAGGTACTCAAAGAAATAACGGCTGAAAATGTCCCAAGTTTAGAAAGAGGCTTAAACCTACAGATTATGAGAGAAATTCATACATGTAAACCCAGAAGAATAAATGCCAAGACAATTATAGCCAAACTTCTGAAAATGAATGACAAAGAAAAAAATCTTGAAATCAGCCCAAGAAAAACGACACGTTACATGTAAGAGAAAAACAATTTAAATGGCAGCAGATTTGTCATTAGAATCCATGGAGACCAGAAAAAAAGGTGTCATAATATATTTCAAATGCTGAAAGAAAAGAAATATCAACCAGCATTCCTATAACCAGCAAAAATATCCTTTAGGAGTGAAGGAGAATCCAATGCATTCTCAGTTGAAAGAAAACTAAGAATCTGTCATCTAGACCTCCTCTAAAGAAAGTTCTCCACATAGAAACATAAGTAAAATAAAATAAAGAATTTTAGAATATCAGGAAGAAAGAAAGGACATTACATAAAAAGTATGGACAAACACACTAGGCTTTTCTTCCCTCTTGAGTTTTCTAAATTATTTTGGATGGTTAAAGTAAAAATTATTACACTGTCTGATGTGGTTCTCAATGTATGTATCAGAAGTACTTGAAACAATTACGTTATAAACAAGGAGAATAAAGAAATATAAAAGAAGGTAAAGGTTTTATAGTTGAACTAGTAAAATGATCAGTAGAATGTGAAAACTTATGCGCATATATATAATGTAATATTTAGAGCAACAATTGTAAAAATGATACAAAGAGAAACATTACAAAACACTATGTATAAATAAAAATGGAATTCTAAAACATAATCAATTAACCAACAAAGAGGCAGGAAAAAAAAAAAGAACAAAAAATAAATAAAATGGCAGATTTAAGCCTTCACATATCATGAATGATTACAGCAAACATAAACGGCCAAACATACCATTTAAAGATAGGGATTGGCAAAGTGGATTAAACATGACCCAACCATATGCTGCGTGTGTGTATGTTATGTACAATATACATTATGTACAATAAATATATTATGCAAACATTTATCAAGGGAAAGCAGAATTGCCTATGTTAATATCTGATAAAGTAGACTTTGGAACAAAGAAAATTACCAGAGACAAAGGACATTATGTAATGATAACAAAGGTCAAATAACCAAGATGACTTATCCTAAATATGCACTAAATAGCAGAGCTGCAAAAGATGAGAAGCAAAAACTGATAAAAGTGAAAGGACAAATAGACAAATCACAACTGAGAGAACTACTAGACAGAAAATCAGCAAGGATATAAAAGAACTCAACAACATCATTAACCAACAAGCTCCAACTGTCATTTATAGAACACTTCACTGAACAACAGCAGAACATTTGAAACATATTTCAAGATAGACCACATCATGAGCCATAAAACTTCAAAAAATTTGAAATCTCCAATTATATGGAAATTAAAAAATATACTTCTATATAACACATGGGTCAAAGAGAAGGTTTAAAAGAAAGTAACATACAATGAACTAAATGAAAATGAGCAAATCAAAATTTGCAGGACACAACTAAAGCAATGACAACAGGGAAATTCAAAGCCCTAATGCATTAGGAAAGAGGAAAAGTCTCAAATCAATAATTTAGGTCCCCACCTCAAGAACCTAGAAAAAGAAAAGCAAAATAAGCCAAAAATGAGCAGAAGGCAGGAAATAATACTAAAAATCAACAGAACTGGAAACAAAAATACAATGGAAAAAAAAAAATCAATAAAACAAAGAGCCGACTGAAAAAAATCAACAAAATTGACAAACCTTAGCAAGACTGACAAAAGGAGAGTAGACACAAATTACAAGTTATAAATGAAACAGGATATCACTGCAGGCTCTGCAGACATCAGAAGGATAAGAAGGGAATATTACAAAGAATGCTACACATATGAATTTGACAACTTAAAAGAAACGGACCAGTTCCTTGAAAGACACAATCTCAACTCTCTCAATAAGGATAATTTGAATAGCCTTATAAGTACTATGGAAATTAAATTTGTAAGCAAAATACTTCCAAAAACTAAATCTCAGATCCAGTTGATTTTACTGGAGAACTCTACTAAACATTTAAAAAGTTAACAACAATTTTATACATTTTCTCTAGAAAACAGAAGAGGAGGGAACACTTTCCAATCGATTTCATGAAGTATTATCCTGACGCCAAAACCAGACAAAGTCTAAAAAAAGTAAACATCATTAGCTAGCAGGGAAATGTAAATTAACACCACAATGAGACACCTCTACACACCTATGAGAATGACTTAAGGATACTCTTAAGGATGTGGAGAAACTAGATCTCTTAGCTGCTGTGGATGGGAATGCAGAATGGCACAGCCACTCTGGCAAATAGTTTCTCAATTTCTTAAAACACTAAATATGTAATACCTTGTGATCTAGCAACTACACTCCTTGGCATTTATGCCAGAGAAATGAAAATTTACGTTCACAGAAAAACCTGTATGTGAATGTTTACAGCAGCTTTATTTGTAATAGCCCCAAACTGGAAACAACTCAGATATCCTTAATAGGTGAATGGTTCAACAAACTGTGATGCATCCATACCATGGAATATGACTCAGCAATTCAAAGGAAGAAAGTCTTCATCCACACAACAACTTGAATGAATCTCCAGAGAATTAATGCTGACTAAAGAAAGCCTATCCCAAAATGTTACCTATTGTATGACTGCACTTGCCCAACGATCTTGAAATGACAGAACAGGAATGGAGAACAGATTAGTGGTTGCCAGGGATTGAGTGGGTAGGGTAGGAGGGATATGGGAGTGGCAACATGAGAGATCCTTCTGATGATGGAAATGTTCTGTATTTTGACTTTATCAATGTCAAGTTTCCAGCTGTGAAACTGTATTATAGTTTTGCAAGAGGTGATCACTAGGAGAGACTGTAAAGGGCATACAGAATCAATGTATTATTTCTTAGAAATGTATGTAAATTACAATTACTTCAAAATAAAATGTTGCATTAAAAAAGGTATATGAAGTAATATGAAGTAATATGAGCACAGACTTAGTAAAGTAACCGGGACAGACTTTAAGTACGTGAACAATCACTGTGCTGAGACCTACACTTGGCAAAGCGTTATGTTTACTAAAAAGAAAGAAAATGAAGCATAGGATCTTTTGTCTATGCCTTTATCAAAAACAATTTCTCAAGCAATTTACTATTGCCATTTTTACCTCTAATGTTCCTTTCAACTGAATTTCAAGCAGACTATTAAAAATTCTGTATAAGAGAATAATTAAGTTGTCTAATGACTCACTAGAAACTGAAGTTCTAAGACACTGGGTATAACATCTGGAAGTGAATTTGGCTTAGGTTTGATACTGGATGACATTATACTTGTAATTATGCTTTTACTAAAAATCCAGAAACAATGTTTAAATCAGTCGTTCTCAAGTTTGTGATGTCTTTATTATTTGATTTTTTAACTATGTGCAAAAAATTAATGAAAATATTCATTTTCATGGTCACATCAAGAAGCACTACTTCAGGGCAGGTGCTGGAGTGCTCCCAGGTTGTTGCAGGGTGATGGGCAAGAATGGGCCACATGTACTCTGAAGTCCCCGGGCAGAGCCAGTGTTGCAGCATGTGCTTGAGCTTACTGCACTAGCAGGAGTTCTAACAGCAAGAGAGAAGCAGTAGGAGGCTGCAAGGGCTGAGGAAAGCCAAAACCTGAAGTCCAATCAATCACTTGGACCCCTCTTTTGAGCTCCAGCCTCCATTCATTCATTTTTTGAACTGGTATTTTACTAAGCACTATTAAATGGCAAATGCTATCCTAGGCAATGAACTAGTATAAACTGTTCCAAGTGCTATAAAAGAGTACAGTGAGTCTGAGGCAAGATGGGTAGAGAGCAGAGGATGTGTGTCTGTGTGTGCACACATGTGAGCATAAGGAAGGTATGAGAAGCAGAGCGACTTTACAGGCAGTGTGAGTGCCCATGTGGTCTAGATTCACAATGATACCATACTCCTCTGGCTTTAAGATCTTCTCCACATGCAGCAGGGGATCTTGACCTGAGAGGCTGGGGAAGGCTTTCCTGCAGAGGTAATACATGTGCAGGGTGAGGAGGATAAGCAAGAATTAAGTAGAAGAGATGAGGAACAATATTCTAGGAATAGGGACTAGCATGCGCAAAGGCCCTAAGGCAGGAGAAAACTAGCACTTAAGGCTGATGAGGCTACAATGTGACCACCTGAGGGAAAATGGTAAAAAAACGAGCCTGCAGAGGTAGTTTATAACACACGAAAGGCACAAAAAAGCATACTAAAGACTTGGATCCTTATTCTAGGAACAATAGAAACTCTTAAATGGAATGTGACATTTTGCATTTTTCAAAAAAGGTTATTCTAGCTATGATGTTAAAAAGGAAAGAAGCAGCAAAAGTAAATGGCAAAAGTAGATGTTTTTTTTTAAATTAAAAGTCATTTAATAGTCTACTCAAAAGATAACAGAGGCTTGAACTAGAGGCAGGCACTTCTGACAGGTGTAACCAGCTGCCTGGGCTGTGCTAGCCCACACCCTGCTCCTCTCTGCTCTTCCCCTCCAGCAAATGGCAACACCATCCATCCAGTGCACATACATGGAAGCATGTAGATTTACTCATAAGAAGTTAAAGATGTCCCAAACTCATGGCTTCTATGTTCTTAACAAGCCATAAAACAAGACCAGCAGAGACTAGGAGTTGGGGGTGGAGGTGATGGTAAGATGGTAAGTGGAGTGACTCTGCCACGTAGTGTGAGTGAGTTGTGACCACAGATTCACAAGGATACCACACTGTCACGGAGCTGCATAAAGAAGGCAGATGGTTGGCCTCATCCTGGGACAGTCTGGCCTTCTTAATATCAATAAATAAAATCATAATGAAAGATAACTTTAGGCATTCTTCTAGTGACGGTTTCAAAAATTCTATAGAACTACTTGGCCAGGGTGACTACATATTTCTTTAAAAACAAAAAAATCAATATTATTTCAGGCAGATAACCTCTAGCAAAGGAATTTTCTAGGCGGATCAATATTATTTCCAATAGAATTTTGATTAGAAATGTAGGTAAAGGTTACTTACACAAATATAATGTCCCCTCTCTTAGAGTAAGCAGGAATAGCACTGGCTATGGTGGCGAATCCATATGAGTAGAGAATGGCTTCTTCTGTCTTCATAAATTTTGCTAGTCGGTCTTCCAAATCCAAGTGCACATCTGTTTCAATAATAAAAAGTTAAATGGTTAAACTGTCTTATAATTTTTTTCTTCACTAAATAATAAAGAAAATAAGCAGTTTAGTTATTAGTACTGTCACCTTATGGCCAAAATGTAATTATTTTTAAGTTATAAATTATATAAGATCTATTAAGATCTTATACTATTTCTAAAATTTGTGAACTGAATCAGCTACTCATCATTTATCCATATGATGTTACTACTATAACAGTTCCAACTCAGGGTTTTGCTTTGATAACACCCTAGCCCAAGAACTCAAGGCCCAGTGACTTTACCTGCTTTGAAATCCCTCAACCAACCATTTTACCTGCTTTGAAGTCCCTCAGCCAATAGCAATAGTACTTTACCAATCTACAACATGAAATTACTAATGCAATTTTGCATTTTAGCAGAAGGTACCAAACCAGACACTGAGACAACTGTCAACCAACTTTTAACAGGAAAAGAAATAAAAATGAAAAATAGTTCATTTATAAAGAACCCCATATGCTCTGCATCAAGACAGTAAAGACTTTCAGGAATGGCTGAAAGTCTTTGTATACTAGTTCATTGCCTCTAACAGCTGGTGTCAGTACTTAGTTGTAGCACCTGCCATCACTCTGCAGGACTGAGTTTCTGTCTGAATTCCTTTTTAAGTGTTCTGGAGAATTAAAATTTACAGTACAAAAGAGAAATATGGTCCTCTTATAAAAGCAGTTTAAGAAAAACACTGATGTAATAATGAGAATAAATAGTAATTGTTAAAACTGGTAATTTTTTCTCTCTTATATCATGGTTCCTTATAGCCTTTCACTTCCCAGGTCGAGTCATGAGGTTTCATGTCCTAGGATGGAGGGACCAGTGATGTCTAGAATAAACTGCATTAACTGGCTTTAAACCTGAAAATTTCAAAGTGGCCTTAAAATGAGGCATTATTCAGGAGAGAAAAAAATGTTTTTAAAACTTACTTTGGCTCTTTAACTACAACAAGACCCAAGCCAGGAGAACAGGATCAGAGTTTTACCACATGCCCTGTGCAAGGAGAACTCAAGCTAATCAGAAAGGATGCGGTCAGGCCCCTCTAGCTTTGGAGCTTCATGGCAAAAAGGAGGGAGGTCACAGGTGATAAAGGCAGACTTTGAGACTGTGGAAGGGGGAGTTGCAGTGTGTCATGTCCACTGAGGAGAACCTGGAAGTCTAGGCAGCAGCAGGGGCTCCAACATGGTCCCCAGTGAGAGGTGATACAGAGGGCTGATGGGCCGACAGAGCCCTCTGGCCTAGATGTCAAGGTCCCATGTGTGGGAGCATCACTCCAAGAGACCGGTGAACCCATGCCCTCAGCATCAGCCTTCTCTTTAGGGAGCAATGGCACCTCACTCCAGAGATCAGGGAGAAGGCAGAGTCCTCCGCTTCCTCACACCAGAGGGACAGGTATGCCCCTGACTCTCATAGGCATTCTTGATGAGAACAGAGAGAAGGACAGGACCCGAAGACCTGAGATACACAAAGGAGACAATTTAACCCATTTGGGTACAACACTTTATTGTGAATGGACTAAATGTTTCCACTGTAAGGGATGTGGTTAACTGTCAAGGGCAAAGTTTTCACCACCTTCCAGGGAGGGACAATTAAGTAAGGTCAGTTCAGCTACAGCAAATAAAGAAACAACTTCTTAGCACATTTGAATAAAGTGTCTAAAATCTGTAAACCCACTCACTGATTTATGAGGCAAGCTAATCTACTGTGATGCTTTTTAACTAGTAAAAGGAAAAATTAAGGATTATAAAAGTTGCAACTTCACGAAGGACTAAATTAAAAAAAAGTAGTCAGATGAGGGGAATTCAACAATCTTCTCAGTTAATTTATTAATCAAACATTTAATGAATATCACATAAAGACATACTCTGATTAAGCACTGGATCAAGGAGAAATACAGGGTTTCTGACATGGATCAGGGAGAAATACAGGGTTTCTGACACTTGACAAAGTGACACAGCTAAGAGAGGCATTTGGCAGCTGTCAATGGAGAACTTCAGGCTAGAGAGCTGGTACAAGGTGAAGCCGTGCCTTCAACTGACAGGTCTGAAACACTTAGTCCCTTCCACACTCAGAACCACCACATATCCAGTGATTTCTGACTAAAGACAGAGAACACTCAATGGTGAACCAAAGGTGAGGGAGAGAGCTAGCTACTGAGTAAGAGATGGGAAGACACACATGGTCTAAACTAAATCCCAGCTGGATAGCAAGAGAAATACAGTGAGGAATTAGAAAATTTAATAGCAATATCCAGAAACTGAAGCCCACTTTATTTACGGATTTCTTATAGAATGTTATAGAATGACACTGTGAAAATGAACTATTTATCCCATTCTGATCAGATAATGATAAAAAACTAAGTATGTTTCTTCCCATTTGCAAGCTAAAATATGTATATGAACATAGTCTATTATAGGAAAAAAAAACACGAAAATCATTTGATTTCCATTACTAATTGGTTATAGTCATTTTATAGAACTGACATTTTCATTATATCAACATTAAATAAAAATGAGGTTTTTACAATAACAAAGAAGAATGTATCCATTTGATCAAAATGGTACCAAAGGGGCATTAGCTCTTCAAGCATCAGGTCTGTGATATCAACATCACCAAATCTGAGCACCTGACTGCTTGCCTTTCTATGAAAGATGCTGCCAGTGGAAGGTTTCAGAAAAAATCTGGTAAGAATTAGGAAACAGCAAAGCACTAGAAAACAGTCACCTCCCATGCAGCTGAGCTCAGGCATGTCTTCCTCTTCCTTCTCCTTAGTGCTCTCTGGGCGCCTCCCTACAGACAGGTCTCCACCACCTGCCACTTCTCACTTCCAATCAAACATAAAGGCAGGTCCCCTGTGGAAGGCCTCCTTCAAATTACAATGCTGCCTCTAAACTGGACTATCTACCCTAAATCTTCAAAATTTAGCTACAGTGCATTATACTTTCATTCAATATATCTATTTCATAAAGAAAAACATGCTTTGGATGTAAACTACTTTTGCTAACTACAAAACGGGTTTTAAATCATTCTTTAAACTTAGCTCTAAAGGACTCTTTCTCTTGATTAGTGATGAGACAGTAAAACAAAACTTGGCTTTGTTTTGGAGCCTCAGAGTTAGTTATCCAGTTTATAAAAATTGTATGTTAGGAATACTCACAACCATTTTTATGTCATTGCCATAAAGTGGTAAGAAGAATCTCTATATAATAAATCAATGACTTACTGGTTCTTGCCTAGTCCTAAAAGTTTAAAAAAGACTGACCTTGTCCTCCTCTGATCTAAAGACACTGGGTTTCAGCTGATGTCAGCCTTGCAAAGCAGGTTTTGTCATAGGTAAAAATGGATAAACTGCCTAACTTCTCCTGATGTTTGATAGCTACTGTGTGCAATGAAGGAACTCTTTACCCAAGGGATGGGGAAGCAGCAAACAGAACTGCCAGGGTGTGTTCTCCAACTTCTAATGTCTGTCTTGTGTGTGTATGATCCACTTCACTGACTGGTGCCATAGCTTTGCATGGAGTGAGAGCAGAGCACCTCATTCTCTGATTCATTGCCAGAAGCAAACACAGTAGGAAAGAGGCCACGGAGGAATGTGGTCAGAAAGCCTCTGTATCTTCTCCCAGAACTTGCTGCCCTTTTCAGAACCTGCTCTATCACCAGAAAGTAAGATCTGGGGGTAGGGTCAGTACAGGGTGCCTGGAACCCTGCAAAGGGCTTGCTCATGGCAATCACAGGGGGTTCAAATCTAGGCTCTCTCATCACTAAGTGTGAATCCTGGATAGGACTGAAACTGCTCTGTGCCTCCTTCTGTCAAATGGGTAATAGTTGTACCTGACTCAAGGGCTGTTTTGAGAACCACTGGAGTTAATGCTTATAAAACACTCAGAACAAAGCCTGGCATGGAAAATGCAATATGCTATGTGTTTGTTCAATTAAGTCATATTTCTAGAATTACAATTCTAAAAATATAAATCAAAATTCTAGAATTTTCTCTTTTAAAAGGGAAAAGGTTGCACTATCTTCTAATTAATTTATTCAAATCCTGGATATTTAAGGACTATCTTATATTAAAGTTACTTGTTCAATTTCCCATTTATATTATATAATATCTTCTCTTAATCTGATAAGAGGAGACATCAACTTTAGAATAAACCAACTATGTTTTCTCTTAAGGCTTTCATATTTTCATGTTATATACTGTTAGTTTTTTAATCCCTTGAGACTTGGGTAATTTCTCCTGAAAGTATAAGTATTATAACTTACGCACTCATTAGAACATAAATACAGTGCTGAATGTTTCTCAAGATGTTTTCACATGTAGTATCTTACACGATTTTTACCAAAACGTTCTAAGTTGTGCAAACAAGGAGTGTTCCCCTCCTGCTCTGTGCAAACTACACTAGCATGACTGGTAGGAAGAAGTGGCAAATCTAGGAATTTCATGATCCAATGCTCTTCCTACTGGTTTTGTTGAGTACTCTAAAACAAAGAAAAAAATATGTTTAAAAATAAACAAATGAACAATTATTTACTGCTGGCTTTAGAACACAACTCAATGCCATTCTCTCTTACCAAGAAACCCTGCCATTCATTAAGTGTCTTTGACCTAGTTTAAGACTAAAGAGCCAGGTAGGCATTACATATGCAAAGCAGATTCTGGGCACTGGCAATAAACCACAGCTATATGAGATTTGTATGAATTATAAACAAAACAAATAAAGACATTCTCAACAAGAGAAACTATCAAAGTGCACTGGGACTCCATTAGCTTTACAGGAAAAGAAGGCTCCACAATCTGATAAAACCACTTACTTGCTCAGTTCTTAAATACACATTAAAACAATAAAATGGGAAGGTGGAAAAACTTCTGATCATACAGTCCTTACAAGACTACCATAAGAACCTGCCAGGCCTTTAGGAGGCAGAACTTTTAGCCTAAGAAACTAGATGAATTTTGACTCAATAGTTATTTGATTTTTCTTTTTCTGTATTAATCATCTAATAACATCTAATATGTTACTGTGAAATAAAAAAAGTTTTAATAACAAGTGATTTCATTATCTGAAAAAGAGCTAAGAGAGAGAATATTTTCATCTTTGAAAACAGATGCCTGAATTTGATACTTCCAGGAAAAAAAGAAAAGACAAAATTAAAAGCAACCTTTTGAGGATCCAGGGAA